GAAGAACCTGAAAGAAACAACCTCCTTCACCTACCTGGGAAGCATCGTCTCAACTACAGGCGGAACTGACGAGGACATCAAAGCATGAATCGGAAAAGCAAGACAAGCTTTCATTACTCTTAAGTCTGTGTGGAGGTCAACAGCCCCACTCAGCATCAAAAATAAGATCCGGATTTTCAACTCCAGTGTGAAGTCAGTGCTATTATATGGATCAGAGACTTGGCGAGTCATAAAGAGCATCTCAAACAAACTTCAGACCTTCATTAACAGTTGTCTTCGCTCAATGCTCAGGATCAGATAGCCGGCCAGAAAAGATCAGCAACAGGGATCTCTGGGAATGAGCAAACCAACCAGGAACCGATTGTGAAACAAATAGGCAGGAAGAAATGGAAATGAATTGGCCATACGCTGAGGAAACCATCAAGTGACACCCCTAAACAAGCCTTTGCTCGAGTGGAACCGGAAAAAGAAGCGGCGATTTGGTCGTCAGTGATAGGGTGGGGTGACTTGGAGGAGGTCATGTGAAGAGGAGATGAAAGCATGTGGGTAGACTTGGAGCAGGGTGAAAAAGCTGGCAGAAAACTGAAAGCAATGGAGACGCGTGGCTGAAGCCCTATGTTCCTCTAGGAATTAAAGCATAAAATCATAATAACTTTGTTTCATCTTATGAAATGAATCCTTAACTTTTCTATTTTGGAGAGTCAACTGATTAACATTAAATAATGAAGATTTTCATAACTGATCAGACTTGACATTTACTTCTCGAAACAGTGTTGTACATTGGAAATAAAGTGGAGTAACAGGAATAGTGTAATAACAGAAACTAAGACTAGAAAGCCAAAGTATATTTTTCATTAATAAAACCTCTGTTTATATATACACAGTTTATATTCGTTAACCAGTCACTGAGCATGTGATTTTGGTCTACATTAAACGACATGAAATAGAATGTTCAAATAGATATAGTATTCTGTTGCTAAAGCAGAACTGGACTGTGGCAACATGTGAGAATCATGTTTCATTGGAACACACTGTCTGTATCACACCACCATAGTAGTAGTAGCAGGCTTTAGACCAGGTAGAGGGTGCATAGATCATATCTTCACTCTTCGACAGATTCTAGAACATAGACACACTTTTCGGCGTCCAACAATTGTCATATTTCTTGACTTGAAGGCGGCCTTCGACTCCGTGGATCGAAAGGTACTATGGCAATGTCTGACTGTGAAGGGAGTGCCAAGAAAGTACATTGCACTAATCAAGGCACTCTATTCAAACTCACGTAGTCGTGTAAGGGCTTATGGGGAATTGTCATCTGAATTGGTAACAACCAGTGGTGTCCGACAGGGATGTCCACTTTCCCCATTTCTGTTTAACTTCATCATAGATATGCTGATGGAAGTATCCTTAACTGAACGTAACGACTTAGGAATCGACTTGTTACCAGGGAATAGTCTTATGGACTTAGAATATGCAGATGACATAGTCCTGTTAGGGGAGGATGCTGACAAAATGCAGAGTCTTCTGAACACCTTGAGCAGCAATCTTCGTATGTTTGGCATGCGATTCGCCCCTACAAAATGTAAGATGCTGCTACAGGACTGGACCACGTCAACTCCTAACTTAGTGATAGGGAGTGAAGTGATAGAACATGTTGACCACTTCACCTATTTGGGAAGTTGTATTAGCACCAACGGACTGATTGGCGATGAAATCTCAGCACGGATCCGAAAAGCTCGAGCTGCTTTCGCTGACTTACACCATCTCTGGCGTAGGCGTGACATCCGGTTATCAACCAAGGGACGTGTGTACTGCTCATCAGTTCGCTCCGTCCTTCTCTATGGCTCTGAAACATGGCCAATACGCGTTGAAGACATGAAAAGGTTGACTGCTTTCGATCATAGATGTCTGCGATCTCTGTCTCACGTTAGGTGGTTTAATAAGGTAAGTAATGTTGACGTTAGGCGTAGAGTGTTGGGCAAAGAGGGAAAATCAATCGACGAGGCTATAAAGTTACATAGACTAAGATGGCTAGGTCACGTGCTGCGCATGCCTAACCACCGCCTCCCCCGACGGGCATTGCTAGCTGATATAGGTTCAGGTTGGAAAAGAGCCAGTGGTGGCCAAACAAAAACATGGCATCAATCCATGAAATCCTTGACAGTTAAACTGAGTCAGGTAGGGAGATGCAGACTCCCGGGTTGGGGGCCTCGGGACTCTAGGAATCAATGGCTGGAGACAATAGGTGACATGGCTCAAAATCGTTGTCAATGGCCAGCGCAGATGTATTCAGTCTCTGTAATCTTTCATATTCCTTTCTACCATTACCCATTCTGTTTCACTCTTATACTTGTCAAACTCTATTGATTCTCTTCACTCATCTTCTTGTCTACCTCTGTGTGCTATTTGGAACGTGGCAACTCGAACTGCTGCACTTCGGTGCCAAGTTCTATGTTGAATCCAGACAGACAGACAGACAGACAGTAGTAATAGTAGTAGTAGTCGTAGTAAGATATGAATTAGAGACATCTTATTTACTAGCATGTCATTCTTACCGACAATTTAATCAACAAAAGTAACTTCAAATTACCAAAACTGTTATACATTACTTAGAGATCTTCTGTGATCTACTGCAAAAACTATGTAACAGTAATTTCAGCACTAATCTGTACTAAAGTTCATTAAAACCTTAGTTTAAACTACAATTCAAAATAAGAGAAACTAATCTCTCTGTATCATAAAAATATAATCTAGACTATTAATTTCCCAGTTATTAGTGCATGCAAAACTCTGAGTTACATGTTAGTTTTCGACTAATTACTATACTTTATGTTGAGAAAGCGAGTGCACATATATTTGTAGGAAAACTCCCATCGGTAATGCGTACTGATGACGCCAAATAAAAACAGCATAACTTGGTGGTAGTCAGACTGTGAAAGTAGCAAGTGATATAACTAAAAACAATACCAAACACTTTAATCATCAGACTAGTTACTATCAGCAAAGATTCCTTCTGATGAACAGTCTACTTCTTCTTTAAGTGTTCTACAAAACATGGATTAGGTTTGTAGTATTTATTATTCTTCAGTAAAGCTAGAAATATACGTCGGTGGCACAGCGGTTAGGGCGCTCACCGACCATGCACATGGTCCGGGGTTCGATCCCAAGCCGACGCACTCCTTTACCTCGCTTAGCCAGAAATAATGTTGGTAAAGAGGAAAGGTTGGTTGTGAGGCTAGCAACCTCATCCTGTAAAATTAAACACTGCTACAGAAACTTCAAGCAACTAGCTTGAGGCCCAATGTTCCACTGGGAACGTGAAGGGTAAAAAAAGCTAGAAATGTGTTGAAAAGTCTTTCCAAATATTCGAAACGTGAACTGTTAGGTAAATGATTAACACAGAGAGATCACATGTAGTAAAGAACATAAAATTTGCTAGCGAATCACTAACCATCTGGAGGTTATGTGAGTAAATGGCGTAAAACCTCTTCAGTGCTTAGGGTAAATGAAAACTGACAGCTTTTTGTACTGGTCTGTCACTTTCAGGACTTCCTACTTAAAATTTGGTAAATTCGGCGTGTGATCAGCCATTGATAAGTGCTGAATTACTGTCAAACGGGTGGTTCATGAAGATTTGGATGATTTAAAGACATTCTCCATAACGAATTTATGTCAGTATACGCCTCGAAGAAGCTCCACTGTAGAACCAAACAGCTGTTTGATGTATACTAAATAACCTCGTTTCATAAATGAAACATGCCCTGAAACCAGATAACCGTACAAAAATTTCCTAACTGAAGTTGAACTAAACCGTAGTTAGTTCAGGTACTAACCAGCTACAAGTGGTAATAATGGATTACTTTCCGTCAATTTATATATTATGTAAATCATATAAGAAAGATTTTGGAGTCGGTGAAACAACTAAAAATAATTTTGAGCTTATGCTTCTCATCTAGAGTCTAATAATAAAAACTCAGCTCAGCAGATAACGATATGATGTAATAAATACATTTTTTGTCCTTTGACAGCACCTTATGGCGTTAGTTTCATCTTCCTTTAATGTGACTCGCAAACTACACTTTATTAGCTAAGCGATTAAGTAATCGAAGAATTATTTGTCCCTCTCTCCTGAATAACAGTCGCATTACGTAGTCTTGATTTGCTTCCATATGTCCCAGTCAATAAGGCTGGATTTAAGTAGAATACGCATGTCTTTGGTGATGCGTTTTTCTTAGTTTTGATTGGGCTTTGATGAAGTTCAACAGAATTCGTCGAAGTTTTGAAACTTAACTGAGTTTACCTAGACATATTTTACTCCACCTCCACCGTCTTCAGTAAGCAGAAATGAATTTGAAGGAAGCAGTGAAAGAACACGCTGAAACCCGAAAAGGGTTCATAAACTTCAAAATACACATATGTTGTATACGTGTCAACTGAATAAATCAGACTCTCGACATTATAAAGAAATTATGAACGGAAGCTTTCGGTGAAATGATAATTATGGATCCCATATATTCGTTTTATTATCGAAATTGGTAACCATTTTAATTATTTTCCTCAAATAGATTTCCACCTCATTTTTCCCTTCGCCTTTGTACATGGGTTCAAGTTCTGTCTCCTACAGTTAGATTCTTATAACAAACTGTCATCATTTTCAAGTATTCTCATGAGTAGACCACATTCCGTAATTTATTTACCAACAATAAATTCTATGTAGAACAATAAATGAATTTATTGCCAGTTGTTGAGCCATAAAGAATTCCCCTTATTTGACAACAAATAAGTACAAAAAGATGCACAGAATTTCAAGTGAACTTCGACTAACTAAATCAATTCATCGCAGCCTGAACTTAACAATTTGAACAAACTTCTTTACTTCTGAATTTTTATGGTAATTATTACTATTATTTGTATGTATATACACGCTACATTCAGTACGCAGCAGTATACAGAAATTCATTCACAATAACAAAAGTTCAGTAACCGAAATAATTAACATGGGGGTACTTATTTATTTATTTACTTTTTAAAATATTTTTCCTATGAATAATCAGAAAGGGGAGAGGGGGGTAATTATAAATATTATGCACATATTGCTCATCTGTTCAGAAAAATTCCTTTTCTGAGACTTCATTTACAAAACAAGTCCATTTTGTTTCGCATGGATTTTTCAGAAAGTATTAAAACAGTTCAAAAGGTAAAAACAAATAAATAATTGAGTGTCTATTGAAAGTATCGGATGAATTTAGGGAAGCCAATGGAAAAGAGAATGGAATGAAAATAAACAAGTTGACATCAATTTCCCTTCTTTTTTTTAATACATTATGATAAGTGAAAAATGTTAAATTACTATTAGAAGAAAAGGCAAATCAAAAGTATTAAAGTTTAACTAACTCAGCATTTTAATCTATAGAGTACTGTTTAAAGAAATCAGAAAAGGAAGGATTGACTAAAATGAAATGAGATGGACAGGATAAGAAAGTGTATACACAGTTAGAGTGGTGATTACAGAATTCGACTAACTTGTATCCATTGTGCACCAACGTATTAACTTTTTCAGGTGAATAGGTGAAAACAAATGGTCAACAAATGAAGCGTGTGATACAAAACTGCCAGATTGACTACTATTATTTGTCATTTGTTGATTAACAAATCCGGAATTGTTTGATAGATCTGATTTCTGAATAGATACTGAACAAATATGACAATAATTTGAATCCATACTATTGGTATCAGTTGGAGATAACTTTTCTGTTATTGTTGGGGATGAATTAACTGAGAAACCAAATTGTCCCGAAGTCACACGTGCCATTTTCTTTTCCTTAGCACGTTGATTCTGAAACCATACTTGAACAACACGTCGAGACAGACCAATAATTTCACCTAATCTATCACATTCATGCACTGATGGTGTTTTGTGATAATTATATATTGAATGCATGCACCTAGACTGAAGTGCTGTAATACTGGTCCTATTTCTACGTCCACCATTGGAACTGGAGGTTGTGCTTGTTGAATGATAAACACTGGAAACACGCTCTGTTTGAATAAGAGATGGCATGGAAACAAAACTGTCTTGGGTAACAGCATTACAATCACTATTCACTTCATTGTCGACAACATGAATATTGTGTTCATTGGAAGATAGATCAGTCTTACAAATATTATCGTCTTCAGAGTTGATCATTGTTTGTAGAGATGTTTTGGAGCTCAAATCTAAAGGTGCATCATTAGACTCTGAAGTTGTTTGAAATTTTGACAGACTTGTAGCCATAGATGCATTCATTATTGCTGCAATGTGATAGTGTAGTTTACTTGTATCTGTGTACATATCGTTATTATTGGTTAGACCAGGAACAACCGATGACGGAAGATACGGAAGTTCCCATAGATTATTTAATCTGTTTTCACAGTCGTAAATGAACTGTCGCTGGTTATACTGTGGTTGCTGCTGCTGAATCTGATTATGATTACCAAGCCGAATAAGCGCAGCTATCACACTTTGAGGATTGTCTAGGTCAGGAACAAATGGTATTCTAGGAGATAAAGGAGCTTCAGATATAGACGGAGAACTTTCGGAAGTAATGGAGGGAGTTGATTCTTGTGAATTATTTGAATTATCTACTATAGCAAATGAATGTGTATCGCCGTCTACATTCTCTGTTGATGATTCTGTTGAGCGTGAATTCCTTTTGTAATTCTGAATCATATCTTTTTCATCAGTTGGTAGCACTGACTCTTGCATCTAAGGAAAACAAAAAAAACACTTCGAGTTAACTTCTAACTGTTGAGTGTTGTTTGCATTGCACGATGTATGTATGTATGTATTTTTGACATGACTATAAATGTCTGATTGACATACAAGTTGTCACTACAAACAATAAAGAAAAATTAGAATATTAGAATTCTTCATATGTAATGTGATATCTAATTAAGCCTGTAACTGTGCTGTTTACTGCTCTGTATATTTCGAAAATAAGACAATAATTTTAAGTCCAGCATAGCAACAGAGTGAAGGAGGAAGTGAAAACAATAAAACCAACTTTTGGTAAAACACTTGTGTTAACAGCTATAAAGTCGGTAGGAGTTTGTGCCTCGATCTAAGTTTTGTCTCAGCTGTTACCTTTAGCATGATGACATTGCAACCCTGATTAAATTTTAATTTCCCATGAACTCAGAATCTAAGTGATTTAGAACCGAATTCGCAAATTTTACCAATGAGTTACATGAGTTTCAAATGGGTGCAAATGTTACAAATACACAAACTTCGGGTTTACATTATCAGAGTGACTGGATGTTAACATATTTATCAAACAAAGTACAGTGCAATGTCGACATATCTTAACCAAAATCTAGGATTTATGATTAGTTGCATTGATAAACATTCACATGTTGATTCATATCTACTGTCAGTGTTAAAATATACCAATACTCGATTTTCCTCTCTCTCTCTCTATGTATATATATATATATATATATATATATATAAACTAGTGTTGAGTAAACTTTAAACAGAAGTTGTTTCCTTCTAAATGAATAATTGACATAAAACAAATAATCTATTTCCCTAGGAAATAATCTGCAATGGCTTAAAGTAAAATAGTGCACCACTTTACCGTTCACATATAATCTATGCAATAAACTTCAGATCAGTATCCTACTGGTCTAAAATCTGATACTCAGAACAATTAACTACACCGGGACATAATTCTTGTCATTTCCAGGAATTAAGAGCAAATGGTCTCTTCAATAACTTTTTCATAAACTTCCTATATTTCTGCGTGTCTTTCATATCATGTAACCTTTGTCAATGTGTGTCGGTGGTATAGCGGTTAGGGTGCTCGCCGACCATGCACATGGCCCGGGTCAAGCCACTAGCTTGAAACCCGATGTTCCACTGAGGAACGTGAAGGAAAAAACCTTTGTCAATAATCTTCACACACCCACCTAGTTACATGCTGATTATTCATCACATTTTTTGAAACATTTTGATGATGTAAGCAATAGCCCTAAGTGAATGAATTCGCTGGAAAGAGACTCTTCACTGAATTATTGGTTCCCATGAGTTGAAACACAGTAGCTTCGGTCTGAAAATGAGTGAATACGCCGCGTAACTACAACCACAGTGAATATTTCCTTTAGAAATTGAAATGAACATGTATTGACCTGTGAAACCACTACTAAGATGTAAAATGACTGTTAATGCTGAAGATTCCACATTCTAGCATTAGTACTGTTTTGGAGTAAAACAAATTATTATTACTTTTTAAATGTGAAATAGATTATGAACCGAAAAATATCTTAGACATTCGAGGACAAATTGACAACAAATATGTCACTTACTTTAGGTAACGGGTGATTAACGGGAAATTATGTCCTTAGCTTCAAATCACAAAGTGTTCGTCACCACTGACAAGGAACTCTCTGCAGTATGTTTTCAAAGTGATAGTAATAGATGAGATAAATGTAATCCTCGCCTTATCTATTTGTTTACTGTAAATTTTTGTCTTTGGTTTTATTTCGCCTTACATATATATATATATATATATATATTCTATTCCTTTTAGTTCCCAGTGGAACACAGGGCTCCAAGCCAGAGGCTTGAAGGTTCGGTAGCAGTGGTATTTATTTTTACGGGATGCCCATCCTTCCCTGTTCGCCAGTCTTTTTATCAGATTAGTGAGTACTTCGGCCGGGTGTCGAACCCTGAACCACCTGCGTGATTGGCGAGCATTCTACTACTGTGCCACCGGCACACTAGCATATACCTATGCTTAACTAGTCAGGTTTTAAATCATAATGGCGTACTGCCGATGATTCCCAAACTACGATGAAACAGCAGCTGTCCAGTACTCCTTGGTTTTCAGTGGTTCTCTAACTGATATCAATCCGTGATCAACTCATAAAAACATAACTAACTCTTACAAACCAAACTATAGAAAAATAATCTGATGCTCACTAGTGACTTACTACAGGTTGGAGTTTACTGAGTTCTAGTGAGAAGTCGTGACCAGTGAGGTCCAATTAGATATCACGTGTGTGGATGGATGTCCCACCGACGACAATGGTTGGGGTCGCGCTAAATCACGAATTAGTAGAAGTTAGAATTCACGAGCCATTGAATCGGGTCCCAGTGGCTGAATGGTATACGAACTTGCCTTGTAACCGGAAGGTCCTGGGTTCGAATCCCAGTGGGTGTGTACTTCCGATGATTCCCAAACAAGGATGAAACACCAGCTGTCCAGTACTCCCTGGTTTTCAATGGTTCTCTAACTGATATCAATCCGTGATCAACTGGTGAAAAATAATTCTATGGGCCACTTTGACTTACTTACAGCATACATACAAAACTCTAAGTTTTAATTAACAATAAACAAACCCTGAGGCTTCAATTCATGTTATCAATGTATTCATTAACTTACCTCATCATTCATACTCAAAGAATTAGAGTCTTCATTTAAACGGGAGCGCTTATGATGATTGTGTGACTTCATTTTGTCAGTTTCTGTAAAAGATGACAATTCAATTTCGCAGGATCGTTTAACTGTTGAATTCACTTGTTTTATTTTAGAATTCGGTGATTTTATATTTGAATATTCATTTACTGAATGAGCCGGCATCATGTAAGAATCTTCACATGTCTTATCACTGTTCTTTGTGTAAGAGATACTATCAAGATGAGTGGTATGATTTTGAGTTGTTGTACTAACACTGGAAGTTACTACATCCGACGAATTAGATTCATATTGGGAATCATCACTTATTTGTTTATTGTACTGTTCACCGTTTGAATAAAACTGCTGCTGTTTTTGCTGTTCTTGTTGCTGCTGATTATGTGCTTTCATTGACATTGTTGAGTGAACTTCTATTCTACCAGTTTTCTCATATTCTTCTAGATTTAAACTTGTACTCGGTGGAATAGCAAAGTTATATGGATTATCTTTATTCTTTTGACGTTCTTTAAATAAGGTATTACGAAACCAGTGTTTAACAACTTTCTCTTGTAATCCAGTTTTCACGCAGATTTCACGTATCTTCTCATCTGATGGTGAATTACTGATATCAAAGTAAGAACGTAAAATGCTCAGTTGATTCTCACTTAAGCGTGTGCGACTTCGTTTTTGTGAAGTTCCAGATGGGTTCTGCTGTTCCAAATTTTGTTGTTGCCCGTGCTGTAGGAAGAGTTTATGTTGATCTTGTTGAGCTTTCAAGTATAGTTTATGCAAAAGATTTGCAGAATCATTCATGTTGTAATCTTTTATAGAATTTAGGGAGGTATCAGCTAAAGGTAAATGCATCTTACTGTCTATATCACTAACATCATTATCAACAATGTTATTGGTAGTGTTTGTTGCATAGTTTGACAGAACGTCACACTTATCAAAACACACGCTGTTACTTATAATTTTAGATGAAAGGTTTTTTAATGAGGTTTCTAAGTCTCTGTTCAATAAATTTATTTGATCAGATTGTATTATTGATGAGAACAATGGAGTATTCGAATCATATGTACTACCGACATCATTGCCAGTAGTATCATCAGCAGTTGGATAATTATTTATTATATATTTCTGTTCTGTTGCAAATGATGCAGGAGAATCGGTGTCATTCAATTCGGTTTCGTTTGTGTCCATATGTGTCGTCAGTTCTTTGGAGTTATCTGACTGGAAGTGTTTTTTGTTAACCGATAATGAGTCCAGTGCATCACTGGATACTTCTTTGTACTGGTGCATATCACGATAGTTACCTTCAGACCATAAAATAAATAAATTAGAAAGTGCTGGATTTGAAAATAGAGTGTTTAACTTTCCAATTAGTTCAGGTACACATATATCAGATGGGAGAGTAGAACCTTCATCTGTGGACGACGTAGAATGTTGTAGATGTTTATGTAATTCCATACTAGATTCAAGGATAAATCGAAGAATTTTTTTTTGATCATTATCATAGTCGACACTACTCTTGCTGCTGTTATTGTTGTCGTTTTCAAGAACATAGCGACAATATTTGCATGGATTTCCTTTGAGAAGTTGAACTTCGTTTAAATGGTCTAATTTAAACCAAATGTTATTAAACTTTTTGTAAATATCATCATATTGACTCTTGTAATTTGCAATACACTCCAAGGTAAATGCAAACAAATTTTCTGATGAGCAGTTATACTGAATCATATTCGAGATGTTGCCATACAACATTATTTCAAGCGGTTTCTTCAATAAACTGTGTAAATTAGGTATCACATTGATTTCATGGAAAAATTCATCTAGATTCATTATTTTGTGGTTTGAAGGTGAATGAACTGAGCTTATCTGTTGTTTGAGCTCCAAATTTGTTGAAGCAGGAGTGGAAGTGTGCGTTGAAGGATGAATGTGAAGAGGAGAGGAACCTGTTATTGACTCTGATGTGTTTATGCTTGTGGAATGGGCTGTGTGTGTGGTCGATGCTGCGGAAGATACTAACAATCCCATTGACTGAGCATAACTAAAATTCTCAGAAATATTTTTATAGTGAGCTGTCATTTGTGAAAATAACTCCATCGGTGTTACAGGTGCACCACATAAAGCATAACTGTTATTAGGCAACAGAATATTAGACGACATATGCTGCATATTTGAATTCAATGGGTATTTATCAATGTTCTTCCATTTATCCGTTATATGTAGGTCTTTAGACATATACAAACAATCGGGGGGTACATTACCTTCAATTGTACGGTTCGGTGGTAAAAATGCATTGGCTGTCATACTACTTTCAAATCTAAAATAAGAGATAAGGCAGATTTTACTTATCTTGTGATGTTCATTTACGTTTTTTGAATAATATTTCCCTCAGTCATATAACCAACGCTTACCTGCATTTCACCAGTGATGAAAGTACACTGGCAATGGGACTGGTTGCAGGATCTCATCTTTGTAACAGTGTTACAGTGTTATTTAATGATTCAGTCATTAGTGTTTTGTAACAACAAAGTACTCACTCACAGACTACCAGTACTGTATTCCTTTTCATCCATGCCTAGTTAATAATCTAAATCCAAAAATGTTTAAGTACCAGTATTCTTTGATTACTAAAACGAATATTTAATTTCAGAGTCAACGAATGAATACGGAGTAATATAACCATTTAACGTGTTCTGTAGGATTATAAGATTTATCAGAATTTTGTGTTACAAAATCCACATTTTAAAATTTAGCATTACGAGCATATGAAAGTAATTTTTTCGAGCGAGAATAAAATTAACTTAGTGCTACAATTGATTTTGAATAATGCGCATATAGGTGAGTGAGAATCACTCACCTGTAAAGGCATTTAAGAAGCACAGTGAAAACAACAAAGGCTCTCGTTATTCATACTACTATTCATAAACTACCTCAGTGACAAGTCAGATACTGTCAGTAACACATGGGCTATAAACAGAAGGATATGAATGGATAAATACAGAAACAGTATAGGTGATAGAGGAATTTGTAAGGAACATGTATACACTGTAAATATATCCCATTTTGGTTGGTAAGTTGTTTTGTTTACTGATGAATTCTTGTTACTTTCTAATATTTACATGATCATATGATTAGCAGAATAACGCACATTTTATCCACACAAAAATTGAAAAATAAACATCGAAGATATAATTGAATCAGATTGTCAAATTTATCAATTCAAATATGGTACTCATTATTATAATCATGTTATGGAATGAAAAAGCTAATTTATAGTTTTGTTTTGTTTCCAACTGAACAACATTTAAAGTATTTGTTCTACCACTTTTTATTCAAGCTGTGAAGTTGAGAAGATGCTATTTATTTACACATAATTCATTACTATTATCACTACTGTTATTGTTATTATGACGATTGCAAACGTATATATATATATATATATATATATATATATATATATATATATATATATATATATATATATATATATATATATCGTATTAAGATAATAATAACACTGTTGAATGCAATTTTATTTGCCTGGAGGTGCTTCCTCTGTTCTATCAGGAATAACGTCAATTACTTTATTATATAATCACAACTAGGATGTCGCACTCTTGTACATGTATATATATATATATATATATATATATATATATATATATATATATATATATATATATATATATATATAGCGTAAGAGTTTGGCACAGTCATTGGTAAAAAGCATGTTTAAGTAATCCAAACTAAAGAAATAATAATAGTGATAAAAACACCTATGATACCAGTGATAATAACCATAATGTCCGTATCCTAAGGGCTATTCATCCATGCATATTGAAAAATATGCCTAAATTAATTTGTACAGCTTTGTCAATAAATGAGTTTGATAATATCTTGCTGAGTTTTTTTGCATTTGATTGATTTCACATTAAGCTTAGGATGTGATGAAATCAACTTTGAAGAGCGTCTGATAACATTTTGATGTATACACATTTTTATTACGATTTACTGGAGCTATAATCAAACTAGTATTCATCAAAACCCAGAGAACAACTTAGCTGAAAAAATAATGGGAAAAAATACGTAAGATTTGCAGGATAGAATGGACATTCCATTTGTAACAGGTATCATGAATTTGAAGTTAGATAAAAGTTTTGACAATGTTTAAATAAACTACCCAAAAGTCAATTAGCTAATGAACATTGAAACCCAATCGTACAATATGGATTTATATAGCTTTAAATGAATGAGGTGTACATGACTAAAAATATTTTATTACCACTAACCAAGCAGTCACACCTTTTCAAAATACCGTAAATTGAATAAAATCAGATGGCGCGAGAGATAACAAACTTCTAACGAAGCCTCTAAATCGGTAAGCATCTAAAACACTGCCGGAAATATTTTAACACAACGAGTCTTCCAGGGACAGAACTTCAATGTCCACCATGTAAAAAAACACTTTTTAACTATCTAATTCTTGGTTTAATATGTTTGTTGATTGATGTGTGAAATACTTCTAAAGAAGTTGGCTAATATGGAATATAATTCATTTGATCTACAGATTATTTTCTGAGAGCGTACTTATCAGTTTCCAACTTGTGAATTTCGGTATCAAATAGGGTACGGAATAACTCGAACAATATTTGCTTTCGAAGCTATCAGTCACTACATGAGATCATTCCGTGTTTCAAGATATGTACTAAATTCTAATTTCAGATATGCTTGAGAGGTGTTCGTCGCTAACCTAATTTTATCAACTCTATGGTTCCATACTATCTATTTGTCGTACATAGAGACTGTTCATCCACGTTTATGAACACAATGCATATTTAGAAGCAGAAATGAATAAAAATTGTTATACATTTTTAAAGTGTATTATATCATAAATATGTGAACAGTAATGTGTATCTATGGCATTTGTGTAGGCATCTGAAAATACAACTTAGTAATACTGAGTTCAGTGATAACCATGTCATAAGACTTGTGATCCTTACAACGTACATAGATACACTGTTGTCAGTGAATTAGACGGCTTGAATTCAGGGAAGAATTCTTATATGAAAAGACGGAACATTTTACGGAATATAGTGACTTATAGAATATCGCTAGTCTATCCCCATAAATTGGCATCTATTTTGACCAAAATATTCAAACAACTATCTTATCAGGTAACTAAACTGTTCTAATTAATCACTCATGTTTAGATCGAGAATGCACTCTAATAAGTTTTGCTTTCGTAATGAGTAAATGGATACACTAGTGTACATTTACATCAAATACTTATTTTCTACGTGAACAATGAGCCAATGATGCATTTGTATGCCGATTAGTTTTCTTTCCTATTATAATTATAGTCATGTTGTGCTGATTACCAAAGTTTCTAATATTTGATCTTAATTGACTAATTCAGTAGGCAAGACTATCAGAATTAAATATTTTTCAAGAATATTGGTTGTATGCATAAACTAGACATTTTTTGTTAACAAATGAATTATTTCAGCCAAAATGATAAGTCCCACATTATCTCATTTATTAGATCTATTAAAGATTGAAGCAACATCATTTATAGGGTACAATTTCAAACACACATTACTGTTTATAAGCATATATGTTGTTACTCCATGACTATGATGCTGTCTTTTTCATACTTGACATAATTAGGAATAATAAATCATATCTGAAATGTCATCTATATGTCGTATATCCAATAAACGAACTAATGTGGTATTATACATATAACCGTGTTGACGAAGTTCTACTCGCACATACACATGAACAGCATACTCACAACAACGTGTAAGATCTACTGAATCATTTGTTTGATGTGTTCGTCACTTGACCGTAAATAGACTAGATGAAAACACAAAAATGTACATCTTTTATCTAGATGGACAATCTTTCATTCTAGGTCAGATGTATAACGGTGTTAAAGGTATCAAGTAGATATAGTTATTTATTAGAATAGTAAGTATTATTTAACCATCAACTGTATGAACAATTTGACTCTGATTTTACATCAGTAACATAGCAGTCGAGATCAACTCTGTTCAGTATAACTTGACAGTAATAGTACTCAGCAGTCACAGTAAAATCAGTTAGATAAATAATATGTTTTAGTGCTATTTATCTGGTGACAGCAGTGGATTCCCAAATTTTGGTTTGGCCTCATTATCTAAGCTATATCTCACAATCATGGCTTTTTTCAACAATAAATTATAACACTTGTAGTTCCAAAAGCTAAACCAATTACCGCAGAGCTATTTCCTGATCTAATTAGTGGTCACCACTTTAGAATGAAACGAAGTCCTTTTAAAAGTTTTCGTTCTAGACACTCATATTTCAACAGATACTGACTTATTCGACTTAAAAATACAGCGTCAAAAGTATCAATGAATTACGAATTCGGATAACTCAATAAAAAAATATTTGCAAAACAAGATGATTTCACTCCATAGGGTTTTGATCAACTGCATAAGACCTTAGTAACAAAGTACATAAGTTATCAATGCAATATAATTCTGACACACTTTTATGGAATAAACAGTTCGTTTTATCAAAGCAAAGTAAAATGTCAAAAATGGGAAAAAGGGTACAAACTATCGGGGGAGTTAAAATGATCACCTGAGACGAAAACAACATTATATACCATGGAGAGAAGAATGCTCTGGTACTTAATAGCGACTGACAAATAAGTGGGGATGACTGAGTAGTTATGTGTGGGGTGATCCAAACAAAATGAGGTCAAAGATTACAAAGATATTAATAAAAATGTTAGGAAGAATTGATGAGTGCTAATATCGGGTTACGTCAAAGAAGTGGAGTGAAATCCCTATGAGTCATTGCTTATCAATGCGGTAATATTAGTCATAGCTTCTTTGTGAACACATTTCGGACGCCACTCCCCGCGTGGAATGTTATTTTACTCTTTTATAATGAACTGAATAAAGTGTGTCCAAATTATATCACATTGATAACTTATGATTTTGAAATAATAGAAAAGATTTGTAACTCAGGTGGATGATTTGGAATTGATAGTGTTCTCTGAGCTCCTTGGTTTAATTGCGGAGCTTTCATCGTCTTTCTGGACGACATCTTCAGCGCAGTATTTAGGATAAAGTGCAGCTGACGAAAACTTGAGAACAGAAATAAACAGCAATCTGAACTACTGATACTTATCTTCCGATCATATACTTTAATCTGAAATTAAGATCTAGTAGCAATGATCCACTCGGAGAAAAGAAAGATTATTCGAACTTCCAAAGAGGTCCATTGTCTATGAAAATGGATGATAGTAGAAAAATATTACAGAGA